GGCCGATTAAGATAAAATGTGTACCGAGGCAAGACTGTGAAGGAAAAATATTTATACCTGAGTGTGTATATACGCGTCGTTGAAAAAGCGTTGCTCGTTTTACCGCGTGTCGACGTCGGCTCTTCGTGTCTCGATTCCCGTGATCAATTAACCGTACCTACCTACCATCAGCCGAAAATCGTTCCTGCCGCGGCAAACGTCGCGGAGTGAAAGTGCTCTCGGATGGTCGCCGTTTCTGCTGTTGCATTCCGTTGCGTTTAATTCCAAGTGCATTCGTGATTAATTAAGAGCGGAGAAAAGCGATCTGGCCGCTCTCGAAGAATCGTGAAGAATGCCCCCTGTCCTGATACCAGGCGAACGGAGCATGCCTCTGTGTCTGTCTATGTCTGCGTGTGTGTGTGTGTGCGCGCGCGTGTATGGTCGTGTGTCGATACCGGTGCAAAAAAAACCAATTCGTGATCTGCTAATCTAGTCACATTGACTTTAAGATTACCTCTCTTGAAACTAGTGGTCCGAAACGAGGACGTGAAGAAGTTTTCTTTACGCGAAACATTTTGTATATCGTTCGCGATCTAAGGAATGAACTCCTCGTAAACACAATATTATGATAATATTATCTCGCCCGCGATAAGGCTGCCGCGAAACTCGAGCGAAATCTCGAAACTGTCCTGGCCGATCTGACCGTGCTAGAGATTTTCGATAAACGTTCGATCGCGGTCGTGCACGGTTCGAGGTGCAGCGTGTCGTTTCGATCGAAGTCGATTCGGTTGCTGAAATCGGTTTAGAACGAAAAGAAAAATCGGTTCGAAATCGAAGACAGAAACGAACGACCGGACAGAAGTGGAGCATCTAGATTTGTGGAACATTTATTATCGTTATCCGTGTTACGTTACTTCTCCGAGTAATGTTCAGGATCGAACGATGCCGATTTAACGATCGTACGGGAACGGAGCACGGCTGCAACGTGTTTAACAGCAGAGAAAATTTCTGTCCCGTAGTGCTGCTGCAACGCGTCGATTTTGTGTCCTGTATGTTGATATTATCTCCAGTGGAAGAAGGCGTTGATGATAATTCTTTGTGCACGAAGTATCGTCGGTTTTGAGGAAGTGCTTGTTATGGATATCTGCACGGCTATCGAACGGGAATACTTTCTCAAACGGAATTACGTGGATGGCATCGGGGGAAGCGTTTTCGAACCCTTGCAGGAGTAAGTACACGTTGTTTCACGCAATCTGTATCGCTGTATGGAATCTTTATCTCTGTGTAGAGCATCCGTGTTAATACCGTTCCTTTTAACGATTTATCGTATTCATACCGTAAAGAATAGTATACGAAGGATACGTTAGACAAATTTTTTCTAGTATCTAGTACTTCTTAACAGCTCAATAACCGAACGAATTGCTGTTAAATAGATGGTACAAGCAGGTTTTCCCATATTTAGAAGCGTCTCGGTTCAAATAAATCACCTGCTAGAATTGCCCCTTTAAACTGTAACCCGATCACGATGCATCTCTTCCCCCTGAAGCGAAACGTTGGAAAAGGTTTGATCGTTGGTCGATCGATTCTCAACAGGAGTTGATCGTACGTCGATTCTCGCAGCAACAACTTACTCGATAATTCCGACACACGTTCGCCAAATAAAATCTACCTCCTAGGATCTATGGTCTAATCGAGGGATCTAAGCAAAATACTTCCACCTGTTAAAATCTCCCCCGGAGTGTACCGGAGTCACGAAGCGTATCCTTCCGTAGAACGAGCTCAGCTTCGATAACCACATGAGAAAGTACAATGGAGCACGTTGGGCCCGCTATTTATGAATATAATGTTCGATCGTCCCGCGCTGCTCCACGGGCCGCGTTGTTCGAGCGGAAAAGATCGCGATTTTTTATCGATCGGTGAAAGTCGAAGTTCGCTGGTAATCTTGGCAATGCCGGAAGCCCTGCTCCGCTCCTCGTCGCGATGAGGGGAGGAAAGAAGTCTCTCGAGGCATTGTGCACGAGGATGCGTGTGCATCTCTTCTTCGCTCACACGTACACGTGTCTTTCTCTCTCTCCCTCGCGTTTCTGTTTTCCTCTCATCTAGATCTCTCACTCTTTCTCTCACTTACGTCTCTCTTCTCTCACGTCTCTCTCTTTCACGTTTCTCTTTACTCACGTTTCCCCCTTCACTCACGTCTCTCTTCACTCACGTCTTTCTCCTTCTCTCTCATGTCTCTCTAACGTCGTGGACCATTACGTTGCATCGAGACGACGAACCGTAACGGGCGCTGCCACGTTTTTTCTCCTCGTTTCATAGAGGATCTCCGTGGGGACAATAAATCGCGTGAAAATCGAGGACGAATCTTGATCCCCGGCGACGATAAAAGAACGCGTACGAAACCTGGCGGGGCGGCGGGGGAGACGAGAAAGTTGGACGGCCACACGAATCGCTTCGATGCACGTGCCATTTTTTTCTTTTTTTCAACCACTCTTCACCGACCGTCTCTATTCTTTTAATTCGAATGGTAATAAAGAGAAAGCATTGTTGCACGCGATGTAATGATCATTTCTGACGCGTTTGCACGCGGAAGTATGAATCTCATTGGTCCTCCTCGTTGAAGAAAAATATATCGATGTACGTAATAGGTTTGCAATAAAAGGAAACGATAAATCGATACGGGTTTAATATTTGTACAACGATAGCTGTTAGAACGAGGAAGATCGTATTAAACGATGATTCAACGATGATTCCGATACCTTTACCATATTCTACTCTTTTACGGAATGAAAAGTGAAACGTTTTAAATCGAATTTATGTAATTATTTCCAACTTCTGGTATAATAATAACTCCTCGGATCGGTATTAAATTCGTCGACGTATCGCTTCTTTGCTTTTATAATTTCATCGGGCGAAAACACGTCTACACAGCGTACGCTCGATTTCCGTGCACGACAAGCGTAAATAAGATCAAATTCCTTCGCTCTTATATGTACATTATTTTCCGCTGTTGGCTTAACTGAATGCCGCAAGTCGTGTTTTTCGATGATTGTGTTCGCTTGTGTTACGCCATCGACCAAGGAATTCCGCATGGCGGACTGAGCAATCGGTTTTGGCAGCTGTATTAAAACAGGTGCGGAAATGTTCGAGCAAGATTTTCCATACGAACGTGTTCGTCCGTTCACTCGACGTGTAATCGAGTTCACCGTTCAATTATCGTGTGGTAGATTTTCACGTTCCCGCGATGTTAACGTTTCTTTAACGCCAGAGAAAATCACCAGAAAGGCGAAACACCGTGCGCGTCCTCCATGATTCCCGATATTTATAGGATATTGAGAATTTCATTGCGGCAATGAAAATCGTAATAGGAATCCGCTGCTATAGTGAATTATTCCGCGTGGATCATTAGCACGGTATCTTGTTTAATCGTGCGTGAAGAATCAATTTAACCAAGTCCCGCGTCACTTGCGTGATCATTTTTCCTACTTTTTTTCAAGGCAGACGTAACGTTCGATGATCTACTAATTACGAATACCTAACCAGCTTCGCGGTATTTCGTTTATTTACCCGGCGATAATTCTAATTCTCTCCGGCTACTGGCTCAGCTTCTTTAATGCTCGATTGAACTACATTAGAATTTTAGGTTTTCGCGCGCGGAACGATAATTATTGGGAGGACGTAGGGGTAATACGGTCGCGTATGACAAGATAACATGTCGCCGCGACATTCTTTAGCAAGACCGTGCGTTTAATTAGCCTTTGGTCTTGTGGAAGCGCTTAATACGGGAGGTGATTTATAAATTTCGTTTACCCGCTTAAAAATGCAAATAGGTAATCGCATTTGCGACTATGTATGCGACTGTGCGAAATTTGAATTAACCCTTCGCGTTCGATTATTCGTATAACTTCTCAGAAAAATATTAAACGTTTTGTATTCGCCGATCTGAAAAAGTCATGTTTCAATTGCCCAAAAATGACACGAAAATTCCTCGTATCTTATTAAAACTTTCTCTAAAATACCCCTAAATATAGTACGTAGCAAGAATTCTCAGACTACGTATTTAATAATTCATTGTAACAGAATAGGAGACAATAAAAAAGGAACGCGTGATATTTTGCTAACGTCCTCGCCATCTTTACCTCTCAAGCACCTAAATACAATTTTTTCCCGAAATACCTTTAAATACAGTACATAACAAAAATTCCCAGACTCCAAATTCAATAATTTATTGCAACAGAATGAAAGACGAGAAAAAGGGGAAGCACGATACCCTGCAAACGTCCTCGCCATCTTTGCTTCTCAAGTACCTAATTAAAATTTTTCCCAAAATACCTCTAGTATATAACCAAAATTCGTAGACTCCAAGTTTAATAATTCATGGTAACAGAACGAAAGACAATAAAAAGGGAAATCATTGCAATCAGAGTCGAAGTACGCATCTAAATTTGCATACTCTATGATCGAACGAAATGCCAGCAATTCAGACATGCCGCGAAAGCACGTGAACAGCGGATCCTCTCGGATCCAGCAAACACGAAAGATCCACGATATCCGGTGTGTCCCCTCTCCGTAGGCATGCGGAGGGATGTTCCTGGTCGCGGATTCACTGGCTCTCCAAAAGACACGACGTATAAATACCACCTCGTTTCGGCGTCCTCTCTCCCCGCGGACCCGTTCTCCCTCTCTCTTCTCCTTGGTAGCACGGAGTCTATTTAGATAATCTTCCGCTTAGCGGGAGCGGCACTCGGTGCGGCAAGGGAGCCTCTTCTTCGCGGAGGCTTTCACCAAGGTGGCATCATATTCCTGATCCGCGAACCGGCCGCGTTTCTTCGATCCTCTCTCACTTCTCTCGTCTACTCTGCCATCGTCTCGTACCCGTACCCGTACTCTTGTCGCCACTGTTTTCTCGCTGCGCCGCCAGTGCTCGACGGAGGTTTTTGGCGGACGCCACGCCCGTGTCCCCAAAGAAACCCTACGTTCGTGTCTCGGTGACTCGTAACGCGTTCGACGACGTGACCTTGAGCCAGAAGCCTCGAGGACATCGCCGTGGTACCGGTGCGGCTGGGCTGACTGCGACATCAAGATCTACGACGAGCTCGAGGAGCAAGGATCCCTCGTTTGCTCGATTCGTCGTCGCCACGACATGCGGCTGTCTTGATTAATCGGTAAGCGAACCAGTCCGCTTTCGACGATTCGTGGCCTCGTCGACGCGTGGGTGATCGCCCCGATGGCGCTTTAACGATAGAACCCCGATCGGGGGATTCTTTGTTTGCATTGTGTGCAGGTTTTTGCGCGACGCGAGAAGAACGTAGGTGGGTTTTTTCGTTGCTCGACGCGTGTGTCTTTAACCCTTTGACTGTTTAGCGCGTCTCGGAGATGATTGCGTTAGATGCTGCTTCGTTTCTGGCTTGTGTATTCTGGGTATTAGAACGTGGAATGTTTCCTGTACGGTTGTTGGGCGTGAATCGGAGATGTGGTTGATTTTATGCGGTACGAAAGGGAGTGTACATATTTTTGGACCGTTGCGGAAGAGTTCGCGGGATTTTCATTTTCGTTGGAAGATTCTTAGTTGAAAATATTATACTTGATACGTTCTTATTGGGAATTTGAAAAGTGTCACGATTGCTCGTTCAAGTGTAATCAAACGTCGAATAATACACAGAGGAAAGTGTCACGATTCGAGTATAATCAAACATAGGAATACGTCGTTGAGAGTAATTTATTGAGGAAAGTGCTACGAAGGAAAAAAAAAATGGTTTTATCGTCGATAAGCGAGGCATTGAACGAGTTCTTCACAGACAAGCCGGCGATAACGATCGATCGAAGGAGGGAAAGGCACGCGAGACGCTTTATCTCGCGTGTGTTCATTGTTTATCATTGAGTACAATTGCCTGGGTACGTGTACCACTCGTACAATCGCGCAGATGTTCGGAGCAATTAAAAGTGATTGACGCGAATCTGCCCGATTCTCGAATCGTCGCGACAAATTAGGGCCGTATAGAGGCGAGCTTAGGGGCGGACGACGGACGTGTTCGTGTTAAGAGGTTAAAACGTGTCCTCTATCTTTAGAAACATTTCCCCGAAAAGAGACCCGCGACAGAGAGAACCAGAGAGTACAAAAGGGTTCGCGTTCTTCGATGAAGCAGCGTGAAGGTGGCATCGTTAAATGACTTCGTCGAAAACACGTATCTATGGCGCACGATTATTGTAGTAAATCGTCCTATATATGTACATGCAATTTTTCATTATTTATTGCGTTCCATATTTTACTCGAATTTTAGAAGTAATCTCCTCTGATAATTACGATTCATATCTCCATTTCAATTTTACTTAATCTGCATTAACTATAGCGTTAATCTCACAAAACATTTTTATTTGTTCAAAAATAAATAGTTACTTCGAAAATCATTTTTACACAAGATTTAGTAAAATCACGATAGATTAATGTAAAAAATGATAGAATGTTGTGTTACAATCGAGTCGTCGGAAAAATGAATTATACGGTAGTTGAATTAGAAAAGAAGTGGTTGAACGAAAGTGAGTCTGGCTGTGTTTATCACTTAACGCGGCTAAAGGTGAAAACCGTGGTCGGAGCCGGTGCGAAGAAAGAACAAAGATGAAAAAGGAAAAGTTGGGTGAAAGAGTGGCGGGCGCATCTCAACGCGGCGCAGCAGCTTATCGTTTCGCAAATAAACCCAACGACGCTTTCTGCCACATTGCGATGACAAAGCATCGTGCATGTTTATCGGTTGTTTGCACCGAGGCGCGTTGCGTCTCTCGTGCAAATAACGTCTCCGGAACGGAATGCGGTTGCCTCTTTTTCTTCGGCGCTTTCCTTATTCGTATCGGTGCCTTCATGTGCCAAGAAAGACTTTTGGTCTTCTCCAAAAGATCGTGGATTAAAATTAGACGCGAAAGTGTCTTCGTTTCGACATCGGCCACTCTCTCTTTCTTTCTTTCTTATGAAATCTGACGAATGAAAATAGAAACTGTCTCTCTTCGCTGGGGGATGGACTCGATTAACGATAGGCGTTCGTAGGAAAAACTATCAGGGTGAGAGAGGCGGAGATTCTTCTCATCTGTGATTTTATTTTATACGAATGTTTCGTTTATTATACTTGGAACTTGTGACGTCTTGTGGATTTTCAGTCCTTTGTGCCGGGATGTGTTCGCGACAAAACGCAAGTTCGCGCCCTCTTCGATATTTACGTCACGTTCGTTGTCCCTCAAATTCTTCGTATATTTTCCGCGTGCCAAGCCACTTTATTGTACGTGAAACTGCTCCCTTCGTTCTCCGTATCTCTCTGTCTTTGATCGTTGAATCATCCAAATCCGGCGTTCGGATTCCCGACGAAAATCATGCCAGGCAGAGTGCCAATAAACGGGTGTATGTACCAAGAGAGCCACCTGCGCGCGAGAAGCTTTACTCGGAATCGAATCTATTCCGCGCATTTTTCACCGATTGCCCTAACAGCCTTATGAGACCTATTTTCGGTGCTCGTTGTCTAGCTGTTATTGCGCTTTGAAGTGTACTTTTGTGAAGCTACGCTTTTGAAGATCAAACGTGAGATAAATATTATAGCGACGATCGGTTCCCGATGTCTTCGTAAATTTTGAAATTTTTATTCTCCTGTTTGAGATATTCGAAGTGCATCGTGGTTTATGTGGACACTATTGTGTTTCTATATTGTGTTATCATTTTTATCATGGCATTATAAGTAACGAGAATTTTATTTCTCTACGCCTAGGAAACAAAATTGATAATTTTCAGAGCATCAAGCTGATAAAAATGGGAGCCTAAAGGGTTAACTCTTTGCAAATTCTCTTCAGGCATTTGAAAAAAAGGTATCCAAGTCTCTTAGTCATTCACGTCACTCTCATTCTGACAAAAACATGGTAAGTTCCAGTACTAAAAATGATAAATACTTTCTTTCAATAAGCCTAAGAAACAATTTCGTAAAAAAAATAAAATTGACCAAATTTGTCGTATTAATAAATATGCGGAGTTCAAGGGATCAACTCCTCGCAAATATTTGTTTTCTCACGTCTGAAAAAGAAGTATCCGAGTCTTGTTTTATTTGTTAAATCGCAATAAAAATTGTTTGTATACGTTCAAATTCCACCTCAAACAAATCTCCCTTTCGCAAACAACTCGTTTTCTTTCCGTACGAATCAAAGACTCTGCGCGTAACGATCATCTCCGACACGCTCGCGATCTCTTTTTTCCCGGCGTTTTCGTTCGACATCAATAATCGCGTCTCCATAATTCCCGTTCACGTGGCGCGTAGGTGGAACGGGTTTTCGTGGTGAAGAGTTTTCCCTTGTTCAAGATACCGGTACAAGATGTTCGAAATTCCGCGCCGCGGCGTCGCGTTCTGAATTTAATTAATTCGTGGCTGTCGCGCGATTCCGATGCCACGTGCCGACATAAACCAAGATGAAAAGTTCTCGGAATAAGGTGGAGCCACGCGCCTCGAAGCGCCGCGGAATTCGAGAATATCGCGGGTGCCGGGCTTCGAGGAAGGAAAAGAAAGCGAAAGAAAACGCCCTCGAGAGTATATCCTGCCGCGCACCAGGCGTCGTCCACTTCTTTTTATTCACCTCGCCGCGACCCTGGCACAAGTTCAATTCGTTCCGGCCAATTGGACTCGGGACTGTGTGAAAGAGACGCCGCTTTCCGTGGACCAATCGACCATTTTCTCGAGGAGGAATGCATCGGCTCGTTCCGCGTTAACGAGAGGAACCTCTCTTTTCAACGAAAATTTCCGTTCTCGAAACGTGGACACGATTGTTTTGTTTCGTCGTTGGTCGGCGATCTTTCGATTCGGAGTTGCTGCGGTGATTGGTTGACGCGTGAGGTGAATTTTTGGTGGTGTTTGGAAGTTTGTATGTCGTACGAATAAGAGGAGACAGATTTTTGTCTGTTTTTTGTTAGACGACTTTTTCACTTCTCGCGGCTGATTTCCGAGGTAAAATGGGTGTTTGAGGAGGTTTGAGAGTGAATTTTTTAACTTGCACATTGCCTGTGTCATTCAGTTTTTAACATATCGTCGGTCGAAATGTATTTTATAAAATTATTCCTTCTTATGGTAAGAAATCATCGAGGAATCTAAAAAAAAGACGAAATGAACAAGAGCGATTTTTTAAAATCCTTTTCCGAAGCCGTGAAATTGCCAAAAGTAAAGAAAAGATAGAAGCACGCAAGATAGCCCGCATACAATGTGTTAAATAATTTAATAATTCGTTTATCGAAGAATTTCTCATTGCGACGTTACGTTTGTATTAAACGTCGAGTACACGAAACTTTTATCTACGAAAACCAAAGCAGAGTAATTTAAACTTTCACCGATCTAACTAATTGCACACCGGAGTTCCTTAATTTCTTACCAAAGAAGAATCGTGCTTTTCCAGCGAAACGTCTCTCCGACACTTCGGAAGATCGCAACGCGTAGCGCGAACAATCTCCGCGCGTCTATTCGCCGGAAAATTGAAAGTCATTTGAAGACGTTCTTTAGTCTCGCAAATCGATTCTCACACAACAACAATATCGTGATTTCATCGACGTTGAACCTTATCGGGACTCGGTCCGAATCGAGTTCAACATCCGTTATCGGGGACGGGGATGCTCGTGGTTCGACGAAATAACTCAGCCCGGGAATTGAATGTCACTCGATCACCGCTATCTGACAGAAAACACATTAGATGAAAATCGAATAGCCTCGCTAGGATTTACGGTGCATCGAAATAATATTTCTCGTTAATCCCAACCTGTTCCGCGGCCGTTCATAAATTCTTGCAACGCCGGTGCCGCGTCGAGCCCCGTTGGTAATTTGCATACGCGAAAAAGAAAGCCTGTTTTTGTAGTACAAATAATGCGGGGGAAATGATTTTTATCGTCGTTATAAATTTAAACCGTCGTCCCTCCCGTCGAACGCAACACGCCGTCTGTATGATAGAATTAAGCCGGGCGAAACGATGCGGTCATCGTTGCTTTTTCGCGATAATAAAACATCGTAATTCAACGCTGAAAAAACAATGGCCTCTCGTTGCGTTTTGCACGTTGAACCATTGTAACCGGGACAGCGCCGGGGAAATCTAACGATACGCGAAGAAATTTATAATCCCTATTATTATTTGCCGATAGATAATGGACTCTTGATGCACCCTTTCCGCGAAAACCGCGCGGGCAACCATAAAGCCTCTCCATCGCGATACTGTTTAGATGGAAGCCAGCTTTTCGAAGATTGTGCAGCGGTCTCGGGGAATTGAAATTCTTTCGTTAGCGTTGTATCGTATGTCTAATTTCTATAGAATCACGTGAAATTTCACAAATTGTCCCATTCTCTAAGGAATTTAAATTTTTTTGCTGAAATTTCGTTTAACTCGACAATTCCAGCGGACGATAGAAAAATCTTCGTTGTCTTCAATTTATTCGTGGATTACGCTGGTTCATCGACGAACGTATCACGATCATCGACAGCAATTTCCGGTCCACCGCGATTAACACGTTCGTTGGAAATTGCACTGTTCGCTTTAAGGATAATAATAAATTCGTGGCGAATATTTTATGCGAGGTCAGGCGTATTCGCGTGTTTACCGATGTGCAAATTTATGCAAAATTTCTGTTATTAGTACAGTGGACATTTATAACAGTCGTTTCGTGTCCTGCTGTTATACATATACTCTTTCTCTGTTGCGTAACCGAACGAAGAACTGTCTCTTTCCCGTTTTCTTCGCAGCTAAAAATGCTACTTCCATTTTCGGGCCAAGTTGTGTACGCTTTCCTTTTCCGTCCAGAAATATCGGTGATACCTAAATCGGATGTAACGGTGCACGATGACGTCTATTTCCGATTGACATTAGCCACATACAACAGCGAAACGCATACGAACTTCGTAATCGGTGGCCTTATACGACGAAGAAACACATTCTTCTCTTATGAATGTACAATTATATTCCTAATTGAAACGCCGAAGGAAATCGTTACCATGCAAATGATCCGTTTCGCGTGATATTTCGTTACAAGCGCGACACGTCGAACGAAAATTTCATTCTCCCATCGTACAATTTTCTCTACATGTTTGTATATCGAAATAACGAAGAAAATTGGCACGAATCGCGGCACATTTATCACGTCGAATAAACGATTTGATGATATCTAGAGATACGTGTATATTAAAACGTGTTTGACGCAATTTAATAATACAAAAATCCTTGGCGGTTATTTCGTATTTTCGGAACCGAGCGGGGAGAGGTGATTATAAATTACATCGTAGGTTCTTTTCGACAAGTTACTACGAGATAAATATAAATATATTTATGAAAAAGATAGACAGAGGACGGTTTGAAGTAAAAAAAAGAAAATTTGTCGCAGGAAACGAAGTGAATCGAATCCGATTAAACCGCCACACGTAAGCGAACACGTAAAGTACGCACGTACGAACGCACGCACGCACGCACGCACGTACGACGATTGCTTCTTGAATTCCTGCGAACGTTTGCGCATTCCCTGATAACTGTGGAGAACGATTTTATTTATTTACCGCGCGTCGCCGCTACCTCAATGAAATTCCCGAGGATTCGCGAGAAAGTTCCATTAAAGTTACTCCGAGATGTATCGCGTACGCGCGCCTGTGAGAGCTTCGAGAATCGTTCTGTAAATCAACGTAATCTGTGAGAAAAGAAACGTTTACAAGGTTTTGATTTGTGGACAAAGTGAACGTTGAGACGAGACGTGATATTATCGAAATTCTTCGTGGTTTGTTCTACTGTGCGTGATTTATTGTAGCAGAGAGGATGGAGGGCGATGAAGAATCGATGTGCTCGATGCATTAATGAAATCGTACTTCGTGTGGGATTGTATGAATTAAAAAGAAAGGTACAAGTGATTCCCTTCGTGCAGGTCTCATTGATATTTAATTAATTCAATTGGTTGAATTGTTCGAGGGTGCTGAACAGAGTTGGTACGTTGCTCAAATAATTAGAAACAATCTATAAATCTTTCTCACATTGCACTTACCGTCGAATTTAAGTCAGCTGCTACGCTTTCATCGACTTCGCCTCTTCAAACCAAAAGGAGAACTTACTTTTTATTTCGCTCTTGTTCAAGAAAAGAAGCAATGAAAAGGTACGCGAGAAGCAAGCGCGGGAGAAGATCGAAGGCCTTAAAACAATCGCGAACTGTCCAAACAGCCGTTCAAAAACCATTAAAAGATCATTTTCCCCGCGTTATCCGGGAAAAGAAAGCAGAAAAAGGATAGAGGAAAGAAAAATACACGCGAAGTTTATCCTCGCGCGTCTCTGTCGAAATTTTCACCGCGTATTTACTCAAAACAGAATTTAGATTTATCTTACGTCATAACGCGTTTCGGTGAGTTCATATAGGACGGTAGTTAAAGCACCATAATACGATCACTGCCAGGACAAACTTTCTATTCAAACAACGAACCAGTTTGGTTGTGTTTAAGGAGGAAACGCGGAGAGAGAACCGGCGGATAATACCGTTCAACGGAATTTTCTCGTCAGAGCGAAACGTAATTTACCCGCGTGATTTTTCCGCAGGGTGAAGGGAGGATGAAGAATGCCCCGCGTCGGTGGAGACGGGGGTGGCGGGCCGGAGAAGGCAGGAGGAAGTGGATTCGGAGGATGGCTCGGGGGTGCAGCAAGAGCCATGACAGGGGGAAGTGTCGGCGGTGGTTACGTGGTTCTGGGTGGCACCAGATACGGTCTCAGACTTTCTCAGGTAAGAGGCTTGTTTTAACCCTTTGCACTCGGAGGTGATTTTGCTATAGGAAAGCAAATCAGATATTTGAAATTTTTTCAAACCAACGTAGAAATAAACTGTGCTATTTTATTTAAATATTCAATGTATTCTCAAATTTATGGAGGCCCGTTGATCTGCTTTCTGTCTTCGTTAATTATTTACCAAGTGAGAGTTATTTAATGTCGCTTCTCAGTCGCCGCTCGAATGCAAAGGGTTAGTACGCACAAGTCGGCGTCGGTTCGGCTGGAATACACTGTTGGTTTGTTGCTACTCTACGAATTACCCAAAGTTACCCTTTGATCGATTAATTTTCTTGTTCTGCCACAGTCTGCTTTATTCTGAATCATTGTCATGTGTTAGGAAGAAGCTATTCTCAGGTTTTTATGTTCTTTGTGGAACCTTCTCGGTTTTGTCGCCGAAACTTTTCGGAGCTTTTTGTATCGCTGGATTTTAGCGATTGGGCGCAGTGTGTAATAAAAATTCTTCGATTTCGATTGTAAAAATTGATTTAGGGAAAAATTTTTAGATATTTGATTTATTTTGAAGGTGTAAGGTATTCTGTTTCCCTTTCTATTGTCCTCTGTTTTACTGCAATAATTCATTGAATTCAGGGAACTTTTGTTACGTTCAGTGTGATTTGGAGGAATTTAAATGTATTAGGTATGTACAATCTCTTTGCAATGTGCGTTCTAAATTTTCTAATTTTCAATCACGAAAGAGATCTACAAGAAGGTAGAAGTTGCATCGGACGCCTAAATTTCACGCTTCTTACCTTAAAAGAGAAGAACACAACATCTGAACACAGCTATGCAACGATTCTTTATTGCGAATCGCATTCCTCGCGTCGAAACGCGATCCAAAAATCGTGCGCGCTCGCGGTGCGTCATCGTGGGGGTAGGAGGGCGATAAAATTTTTGAAATTTCACGGTGCCGTTGCCAGAGGAATTTTATTGGTTAAGCAGAATGGATCCCGAAGACGACACAGCATCCAGCCAAATAAGAATCCAAACTCCGTTGGCTGTCGTGACGACCTTCGACGGATTCGCGACAGAGAAGAGACGTTTCGCGCGGGCAAAATGAAGACGTCGGAAATCCTAAATATAGAGGCGATCGCGCAAATAGAATGCCGCCAGTCAGTGACTCGGACCGATTTCTCGTGTCCGTCCCCCTTTATTCCTTCTTTCTTCCTCTTCCTATTTTTTCACGTCGCCCGTCCTCGTCCAGCGCGGAATAATATCCACGTTGACATCATACGCACACCGTACCATAGACGTGAAAATCTGGTGCGACAACGTTAGGCCGAGCCCGCGAGCCACTGCCAAGTCCTTCAATCGCGACAAATCACCGCGAATACGCCGGACGATCGGGAACCGATGATCCGGCGACTCCGCGTTCCGATTTTAGCCACGTCGAGAACGCCTTTCTCAATCTCAACCCTTTGCATTCATTGCTCACGTTCGACTTCGAGGATCTTTTCCTCCTTTTTCTTTCTCTCTCTCCGCGGTTCTTTCCTTGTTGTTGTGTTCTTGTTTTTTTCTTGTCTTTTGTCGGAACGTGGAACGTCATTCTGTTCGGAGGCCTGGCATAACGATGTTAAATTCGCCATTGCTCTGGTGTACTAATAAAAAAGAATTGTGAAGTACATTTAGGAACTATAGATAATGATTTAGTGGAATGTATATTGTTAAAAATAATTCAAAGAAAATTCTCGTTGAAAAATGGACAACGAATAAAAGAGGTGACAAATGTAATATTCTAGAGGTAATTTTGACAATACAAATATGATTTTTGCAACTAAATTTGGAGAAAAATTGATAAAAGTAGCACCGAGAGAGAAAAAATCAGCAAAATCATTGGCAGAAAGGAAAATCCATGTTTTCGTTATTTTATCAAATAATTTATAGAATACCTAAGAATCCCGAACAGTTCTGAATACTCAAATACCTCAGGCAGTTCGAAAAAATGAAATCTCTCGGAGCAAATGAAACAAGTCCATTTAAACACGTCGATATATCGAGTGGCGGGAACGGGGAGTTATTCAAATCGATACAGATCGAATTTCTTCGAATTATTTAACGCTCCTCCTGCGTTCGAATATTGTATCGCGCCATAAAGATATTTCTCTTATGGAATTATTACGGCACGAGACGGCCGGGTATCTCGTTGTTTTCCTCCTTTTAGCATTTTCCTCGCGGTATCGTGTTCTCAGGCGCGCAGCGTAAAACGTCAGAATGAAGATCGAAACAGACGTTTCAGAAACGTATCTCGCTATCTTGGGAGGATTTCGAGAAAGGAGATTAGATGGTTCTACTTTCCAGCATATCCCCCGTACATCGTGTTGCATATACAAGAGTCAGAGATCTATTTCAGAGGAGTTTATCTCCGGCTCGTTCGTGGGAAGAAACAGCGTCACCTTGCCTCGACGCCATTGTCTCCTCTCAGATCCTCTTTACCACAATCGTTGTCTGTTGCACGCGTACACACACAGGTTCATTCGTATAAAACCACGGGAAATAATCATTACCGTAGCGTTGTTGACATTTGGAACATCGTTGAAAGATTTTAACGATGGGAAACTTTTTCTATTATTTACGATCGAAGATCGAATGGTAATTTCATTTTAAACGAATTAACTTTGAATAATGATATTTTGATATCTCTTGATGACAATTACGATAACGAGACGGTAGATTTGCGTATCCGGTCGGTAGAATTTATTTTCTCGGGGGATTTTATGGAAGCGTACGGTTGAAACTAGGTGAAAATGTGATCCGTAGGTAAAGAAAAAGAATTTAAATTAGGTGTTCTCTGGTAGGTAAGGACATGGTGAAATTACCTTGTACAGGCAAGTTCTATTTCCTACGTTTCGTTTTACGCGGTATCGCAAGAAGCAGCCTTTGAGTCTCTTTATATACGAAGCCACTTCATAGGCTTTACGGTCCCATTTGTTCCGCTGCTTTCGTGCTGTATTAAACAAAGGAGTATAAGTACATGCTCTGATTTACGTATATAAGAGCTGGTTCTTTTTCTCCCTCCTCCTTTTCAGTGGGATATAAATTAGAAATAAAATATTCGTAGGATTTGTGTTTAAATAATTCTGTAACTTGGGATTATCTCTTGGGATTGTAAATAAACGATCAAGCAGATATAAATATTTTTGTGATATATCGTTGCTTATTTTTTTCTATCGAATTCATATCTACGAGAAGAATTTTGAGTGTCGATTGAAAAACAGCGAGGAATTTAATTGTGTCTCATATTTTGCGTGTTTTGGTAGGGCAACACGTGTTTAGCCGATGTTTCGCTGATTGTAGAATATGTAACACGACAATGCTGAGATTCAGCAATTTTTCGGAGTCCATTTTCGAGGTTAACATATGTTCCTACGAAACTCGCGCAAGTAATCATTGCGACCTGTAGTCGTCAGGTGTATAATTCGTTCCTCTTTCGAGTTTCATTCTGTTAAACCCGAGGTATGTGCTAATTTTTTGCATTTTTGAGTGATTCTCAAAGGAAATGTACTTCGTGAAATTTAATGACACGAAATAGTAACAGTTCCCTTTAAATTCAGTACAGTAAGTTGAGCTAATTATAAGGTCACGTAACCTGAAATGTCAGATTTCTAATCAGTCTCAAATTGATCGTTCAAGTGATTACTCAAGTTCTTTCGTGTTAGTTTAAAGTTCACACAATTCTTACTAACTAACTGCAAGGAATCTAAAGGTAATGTTTCACCAAATATAAAAAAACCATTTTCACTCCTTAATAGATATATTTCCAGTCACAAAACTCCAAAATATTCCATTGTTAGACCAATCTTCTCCTCCCTAAAGCATCTGATATTTCAAACTACCAAACCCTCAAAACTCATTCATCCTACTTCCACAAAAAAAAAAACTAACAAAAACAACCACACTCTGTTAAACAATCATCGTGAAACTTCTCACTTCACCCAAGAAAAAAGAAAAGTCCCCACAACGTATGTATTCAGCACAGAATGTAAAATCCCGCTCCAACTGGAGGCAGAATCACTCGTAAAAAGAAACCCAGCGATCGTTTCCTTTCAGGAAAGTCTGCCGCCATCGAACTCGCGGGAAGAGTCTCAGGAGAGGCGTCGAAAGAGGAGCTCGCGGGAGAGCGACTCTCGCGAGAGGCTGACGGAAAAGTGTGCGGAAAACTCTGGTGCGCTCGAGCTGAGCTCGAGCATAGCCGACTGTTGTTGCATCGGTCCACGTTCCCGTTTGCCGTTACCGAGGATCCCGCCGTCCTCGACGTATCCATCGTCCTTGTCGTCGACGACGTGTGGAACAGGCGGAGGTGGTGGTGTAGGTGGAGCTGGAGGTGGCGGTGGAGGAGTAAGTGGTGGACAGGCTCCTTTTCCTGGGCCTCCCACGTCTTCGAACAGCCGTGTTGCCGGCGTGGAACAGCCGGCGACGCTGACGACGCCAACGACGTCGGCGCAACCGTTGGTGAACTCTAATAATAACCGAGGGATGCTGCAAACGTCGGTGGGGAACAGCACTGGCCAGCAGCACCATCAAGCACAATCGTCCGCGGCTCTAACGGCGGCGGTACCGTCGTCCTCGTCGTCGTCATCTACCTCGACGTCGTTCAACACGTCCACCGCCGTCCCGACGCTGCAGTCCGTCTCGGTGCCGCGCCAGCTAGCACAGTGGACCAAGCATCAGACGCTGAAGCTGCAGGTATTCTATCTCGAACGAACCCGTTCAAAGACAATGGGGGAGAGATTCGATGATTATCTTATCTGTTCGTTCGTCGCCGTTTCATTCAATTCGATTTGATCGTATTTCGTTTTGTGCACACGACGATGTTATCGCGAATCGTCAATAGAAGGTTTGATTTATGTTTGTTCGCGTGGTATTGGATGGGACAGTAGATACAGGAAGGGTGATCCAGAGTGGTATACCGAAGATTGTTTCTCGTGGATATTTTTGGTGGATCCATGGACGGAAGGAATGCTTCGGAGGTTGTAGAAAAAACTGTTGTGATTTCGTAAGAGTGAGCTGGTTCGTAGGAATTTGGGACGAAGTGTCTTCGACCTGGGAGGACGCTTTGTGTCAAAGCTCGAGAGGTGGCTTACAAGTGGTAGAGATGTAGTATTTTTAATGACTGGAGACGGGAGTCGGTGAGAAAGGTCTCTCTCGCGAAGATTGATCATTATTTATTTCCGTCGATCTCTCTTTATATCCCTATCCATTTCGTCGGGCCTGCTCCTCTTTTTTCCTTCCGCCGTATTGTAACTGTCAGTAAACATAACAATGATAGATCAAGCGAGAAATCTCACTTGACAATTCTCCTCATCTCGTCCAACGTGTACCGGATTCGTTTCGAAAAAGAAGAAAGGAACAAGGGCAGAGTTTGACTTTGTTAAATCTGGCTCACCTGTTAACTCGATTCAACCTGTTAATTTGCCTCGACCGAATTCCACCGGGGCATGACAAAGCAGAAAAAAAAAGGAGAAAAAGAAGAATCGGTGGAGAAGTGACGGGACTAGAGAATCGAAAACTCGTACGTACGATACGTAGGTGTCTAGTCGAAGAACGATATTCTATTTTGGTCGTCATCTGTCTTTTCCCTCGCGGCAGGCACGAGGCAGCGCACGCTGCGTAGCACGGTCGATCCAAAAATTGGTGTGGTCGCAAGTGCACGATCTTAAAAAAAACCCGCGCGGAAGATAAGAATCTAGAAAACTGGAAGACTCGGTCGAGATAGTTTAAATCTGAATTTTAGCGATAATTTGAAGTCAATTCGATAGAATGATCCCGCGTACCGTAGGAAAGTAGGAGATTTAATTTATCAACGATATCGTCGGACAAATGCGATTTTTTTTAATTTAGGAACCAGCAGTGCTAGCGGTGGACCGATTGCACAGGTTCCGGTGGAGCGGGGGCGGAGGAGGAAGTGGCAAAAAGTCCTCTTCCGGCCCCCGGAGCGAAAAGGCCGAGCGCCTTCGAGAGCTCACTGAAAAACTCAAGGGACCAGCTCCAGTACCACCGCCTAGAAGACCTTCACGGGTCCAGGCATCCTCTCCACCCCCGAGCGGATACCAACCACCCTCGCAAAATTATCCTCAGGTAAGGAACTGGTTTTTTCTAGTTGGAAGAAAAAAGAATTTTCCTGGCTTCTCTCCTGACAACCATTAATATTCATCGAACATTTTTTACTCGGTGGATTGAAACTAAGCTTTGGATGTTGTAGAGCGTAAAATGTGGAACATTGTAGTTTTTTTTTTTTTATACTTACCGTCTGCGTTTTAAGTGTTGGATGGTATAATGATTATTTCGAGCAGAGATGTTCGAATTGTAGAGATTAATGGATTTTTAATTGGTTTCTCAGTTTTCGATGAGGAGGTACGCGGAGATAGTTTATGACGTTTCTACCTTTGTTTTGCGAAAAGCTACAATTGGCAAGAAAAGCCGCGTTAATGTCAAAGGTAGCTTTACAACCTGAAACGCCAGTCATGTAATTCTCGTATCGTGGCACAATGCACACTTGTCAATTAATCCTTGCAGCTTGTGGACGTAAATCGCGTCCCTTTGGAACATTATATTGACATTTCGCTGGCGTTACTGTCAATTCTAGCAAAATTAACAAAACCACGAAACCTTGTTACAAAATTCGAAATGTGAAACAATTCTACAATAGTATTATTCATAGCTATTGCGATAGCAACGGTTAACGCTGCATTTAACATTCGTGTATTTTCTGGCAGCACAAAAAAGTAATTACAAATCCTTCAAGTATTTTGCACGAAGAGAACGAGCATAGTCAAAGAAGATGTGAAACGTCATCTTTCAAGAATCTTGCGAAACGTCAAACACTTGACAAAAGATGCGATAAAATATGCAAAATACTTTTGGAGATTAGTGTTAGATACTGTTTACGCATCACAAGAGATTATCTCTCGCATATTTTGCACATTTCGATACCTTATAATTGCATAAACATTCACAGTTTACATATCACATCCCCGCAAGAAAAGTGTCACAAGTCAAAAATTTTCAATTTCCAAATTTTCAAAGTAACACTTCAAATGAATAAATTTGATCTGACGCATATTTCACAATACTGCGATTGAGTAATTTTCCAAACAGAAATTTTCTATTCCATCTCCTAAAAAATTCCATATTTTCGACCTGCGACGATGTAACATTAGAAGAACACCGAGTTTCCAACCTTAATCAAAAATATTTAACCAATTCTCCTACGTAATTCTCATCTAAAGCAAAAATTCTCAAAAAATCGTTTAAACGAACGTTCCAATTGTTCTCTCCAGGCAACGAGTCAAGGATGTGGTCGCTGCGACGGTCGTCCCTCCTGTCGAAGCTACACGTACAGCGAGGGCAGTGGTCACGGGTCGAGCAACCAGCACCCCCAGCAGCAGCACCAGCTGAAGACGATCGGTCGGAGTGACAGTGTCGGTGACGAGTGTTTCAGTGAGTCGAGTAACGACGCGTGCAGGAAGCCTTGCACCGACTCGAGGAGGACCTCACGGTCGGTCAGGCAACACGATAGGAACAGTGGTGACGTAAGTGACATAAAAAACGAGCTGAACGCCAGTGCAGACGGGGCGAAACACCTGAGACAGTATAGTGATTCGGTGGTGGATAGTGGTACGTGTGTGGACGATTTGTGCGATAATCTGAGCACCGCCTCGGGAGCAGGAAACGAGGGCGAAGCAAGGGATGCAATCACCAGATTGGAGCCTAGGGGGCCGCTTCTTACCTTTCACAGAGCTGGCGCACCGTTTCGTAGCGCTTCCTTCGGCCAGGTGGACTTCAATCAAGGTAGTCGATTATTGATGATTTTGCGTTAGCAAGATTGGTTCAATTCTTAGACCTCGAACTCTGTACAATGTGGTGTTTTCAGTTCTTACGAAGGTTTCAGGTATTTACTTTAGTAAAAAGTAGGGTCTTTTGTGCAGGTTTTATAAATAGTTTTCAGGTATTTAGAGTTTGGTAAACAGTACAATTTTTTATTCAGGTTTTATCGCTGATAGATCTTTAAGATCGCAAGGTAGAGATCTAGCAAAATTTCGTATAATAATGGACTGAATTTTTCAACAATTTCTCAGCAGAAAATTTTGCAGATATTGCTCCACGGTTAGATCTCCGATAAAATGAACTTCAGAAGCTAACAGAACTTCGAAATAATTATGTAGTTTCAATGGTTACAGTCTTCGAATACGTCGAAACAACGTATAAAGTATTCGAAATGTGCGTGTACAGGTTCGCAAAAACTTGCAGACTCGTTTAACTTCGTATAGCAGCTTTTCAATTGCACCAAGGTAGTTGCAATAAGGAAGCTGCAAGCCGAGGCGATCATTAGCTTATAATAACGATAGATTCACGGATTTTCTGTGCAGTTATCATATCCATAGGTATAAATGATCGTAAACGAAACGGTAGAATCTACGAGAGGCATTTGAATGGGCGTAGCAGTGGGAGCAGAAGCGACCGTAAGAACAGTTACTCCAAAGCATTCATTGTACTTTGTTTCCGTGTTTATCTTTTCGGGTCTTCACCTGCTCGGAACTGGTTCTACTAGTTACTCCCCGTAAAAGGTTCTGCTTTACTTCTTCGTTGGAGCGTTATTGCTCCGGTGTAAATTCGAAGAGAAACACTTTATTCTGTTGCCCACCCCGCAAAAATCCGTGGAAGCTGGAGAACCTTCTCTTTCTCTCTCGCGGCCTGTAGAAATTACCGAATGACCGGTTTTTTTTCTCGCAAGAATCACACATTTCTTATATAGAAAGTTAATGTACCTGCTAATGGAGAATCGGAGTCACGGGAATTATAGAGCAGTATTTTTCATGAAAATTACACGCTTCGTGACACATTATTTTCCACGAGTTCGACGAGTGTTTTCATTTCACCAAAATGACTTTCGTATTTTACCTTAATTAATTGATACTCTTAAAATTATCCGCGCACCCTAAATTAATTCTCTATAAAAAAAAAAAAAAAGAAATAACTAAAGCCTTGACAAAAATTATCGAACAATTTTGTCATAAATATTAGCTTACAATTATAGTTCATCTGTTGCTATGAAATTTTCCAAGCTTCTCTAAAGCGAATCAGAGCTCTCCGCGAGCAGAAGAGAATCCCTGACATCGTTCTTATCGTACATCTTTCCCGAGCGACACCATTTTTTCCCAGATTGGCTAAAACGTTAAACGTCCCGCGGTATCTTGCAGCAATCTTCAAACTTCATTTACCAACGCGAACAGCGTGAAGTTAAAGAAAGGAGAAAACGCGGAGGCAAGACGCGGAGGCCGCCGCGAGTTACATAACGGGACACGATAATGTTGCGACCGGTGGTATCGTTTCGGTTTCGTTTCGAGACGCGATAAATAATCCACGGTTGCCGTGCGAACGCGGAAATTTGGAAAGGAAAAACATTGTCAATTAATTATATGATTTGTATACGACCGGCGGCGGTGGTGTACTTGTAAATATTGGCCAGCTAGTCGGGTGGCGCGCGCGCGCGCGCGTCCGCGAGCACGAGAATGCAGACTCCGGCGGCATGGCGGTTCGCCAAATAAACACTACCCATTATGTCTATTATTACATTCATGTAGGTGTCGGTTTGTATAACTGAGGATAGGGACAATCTAAATCCGTGAAAGCAGCGAATAATCACGCGAAACTCTTTTGCGTTATTGTGAAACCGATGGAAAACATTGTTTCTTTCCCCTTGCAAATATTTATTTCCTCCCTCTTCTTCTTTCCCGCTCTTTTTCTCCCTCTCTCACACACACACACATACACACTGCTTTCTAAGTTTCACGCATGTTAAAAAGGCCTGGTGCGCTCGCGTCCTGAATTCTCTCGTATTATTCACGAAATTCCAGTCCAATAATTTTCGAGGATAACGAACGCTTTTCCACCGTGAAACTTCTCTTCCCGCTAGCACGTTTGATCAACAACGTTCAAACCCTATGTATGCGTGTGTCGTCGCGCTTTATCTCTTTGTCAGATAAAACCTGTGTGTGTGTGTGTGTACAAGCGTTGCAGCGGGATATATGTTGGTTTTACCTCCGCGTTCAAAGAGGAAGGAAAAGAAAAAAGAAATGAGAAAGAAGGAGAGGAAGAGACGGTCTTTGTATACAGTTTATATACGGCGGAGCCGAAAATAGTGAACGTTCCTCTAAGGATCCGGATTTTTCGTTCCGCCATGAGTACGCCAGCGTAACATTGACTTTCGTCTAGGCGTATAGTTACAGCCCTGAACTACATACCGAGCGGAGGCAGCTTCGGTTTCATAATGAAGGACTAGGAATAAGAGAGATATTAGAGAACCGCTTTCCGCGGCACTTGTATCGCGAACGACCTTAACAGATAATGCATTTCGTGTCCGTGGCCTGAATAAGCGTATTGTTCGCTCGGGTAATTATTTAAACGAATCCTGGGTCTAGCGTTTGTATGCTAGTTAGGACGAACACGGATCGGCTATGGGAAATGTACGATTTGTCCTTTCTCCTTTTGTACTCATGCTAATGTTGCTGTTGCTTGTTTCTCTGCTTGATTTATTTCTTGATGCTTGGCTGTACCGCTGTTTCCCTTTGGTATTCTCTCGATCGAGAGCGAATTGTTTCAGATCGGATAGAGTCTTTTGCTTTGTTTACTCGATTAACAGAGATCTGTTCTTTTTTTTTTTATTTTCACAGTGATAGGCTATGTTTGACGACTATTCTCTGTTGATACAGTGTAGGAATTTACTGATAATTAGAACAGATGTGAATTATCAAGAAAGATAGTAACGGCTTCGACCTTGCCTTATCGTCGTGATAATTACACTTTTTCGGTGACGAAGGTAGAACGGATCTTTTGAGAAAGACTGCGAAACTTTGCTCGAGGAAAAATATTCTGTCCAGAAGAATTGGTGTATACGCTATAGAGTACTTTGTTTTGTTCGTGCATACTTAAAATAGATACGTTGCATAATTCATGAATGAGACTGTAGCGAAACTCGTGTAAAAGAAACGCTGTCCGAACTGACTAAGATTCTGAAGAAAAAAAGAAGATCGAAAATATCGTTGGTAATTTCCACGTTTCGCCGGCGATATTTATTTTTTTCACCTAGAGCTCGTGTGCTTGAAAGTCAAAATGAGAGAGAGAGGGGAGGGGGTGGGTGAAAGAGAAAAAAATGAGAAAGAGATTTCTCAATGTGTAACAAGGCCGAAGGCGTGAAACGCGACGAATCGCGTGCGTGGCGCAAGCCGGAAACGCTTCGCGCTAACGCGCCAACAAATCTCTCGCGGGACACCTTTTACGCTCGGAAGACGGTTTACGAGGACGTCTAACTAGGTATCTTCTGAAATACAGCTGCGGTCCACGGATCCTCTCGACTATTAACTCGACGGGAGAACGGGGGAAAAAGAGATCGAGAGAAAGCAGCGGGCAGATAATAGATTTCCTTTTATCCGGGCATCGTTGGCCGGCCAAAACGAAGAAAAGAATCGTGTTCGCGATGATAGTGATTACGATCGTGAGGTTGACGATCGCTCTGCTCACGGCGAAGGTTCGCCTAATGGGAACGACACACGGGGGAATTATGATCGCGAATAGTGGACACTTGAAGAGAAAAAGAGAGATAATAAATCTTGAAGATTTTTTTAGTGAATATTTATGAAAAAAGAAAGATAAGCAATCAGAAGGAATTTAGAATAATTGCAGCATTAGCTGTTAGAATAGAGCAATTAACGTTAGTCAGAGGTATTCGCTTGGTGTAAAGTAAACAATTCAATTATACAGAACTTTTCTTCTTTACCGGCGTTGATTAAAGTGAAAAGAGCATATGCAGATTATACCCTTGACTGTGCAATCTTATCGTATGCTCGTAATTGCATACTTATGCATTCACAGGTGCCCCTATTTTTCTTGTCCTCGTATTTATGCACGCGAGAACTTCTCTCTGTCGTCCCTGCTAGCCTGCGAACTAAATTAACGGATGTGTGTTTTACCGCAAAGGGAGAATTTACATAGCGGTTAATTTGACGTTTAATTATTACGACGATAATTACGGCAAGGTCGAAGTAACGCGGAATTCATTACGGTCCTTCTCGATAGTTTACGTTTGTTGTAACGACCGATAAATTTCTACATTGAATCTGACCTGCTTCTTGTTGCTCTCGCTTCCAAGTGACTTTCAATGAAAATAGTTGATTTCTGTCGTAAAATATAGAATACCGCCCGTTGAAAGAAAAAGGGAATAGTCGATCTCTGTCGTAAAATATAGAATATCGCTGTTAATTGGACTTTAAAATTGAGTTGTACCAAATATAGCCAATCGTGACACGAAATTTTTAGCCCATGTACCCGTGTATATTTATTACGTTATTGCACTATATATAGTTCACGGTATGTACAAATTTTGAGCCAAATTAGCGACACGAACGCGGTGCATTTCCTTAGACAGCGAATAAATGTGTTTCATGCATTTGAAGCGTGTTTATTAGCACGGTATATTTACGCGCATACGAAATTATATAAAATTACAAATTAAAATCTGCTATTTCGCTAACTGCACAAAATTTACCAATGCTATTCCAAACTTCTTCTACGAATTCAAACATTGTACCAAAGATAACATTTTTTTATTATTTCCATAAGTAAACGAAATTTCAGATAAGTCTACGAATGTTCGGTTTTAATTACCAATCCTTAATTGCTTCGAAGCAATTTTTAAATTAATATCTTAAAAATTTCATTAGAGAAAAAAACACATTGTAAACGAAGTAAAGTGGTTCTTAAGGAGCAAAGTTCACTTCTTAATCGGTCGCTATCTTTGCCGGAATTCGGCCAAGACGACGCGCTGTCGTTTCAGAGCGTCACCGAGATTTTCGTTCCCGTTCCCACTCGGTGCACTCTGTTTGTTATTATTGGAATGGTCACCTCCTCGTGTTGGAGAGGTCTGCCAAACTTACCTGACACTCGAGGAGGTAATTAGAACTTCCCCTCTTTCTCGCGTGGTCTCGCGCGTCGCGACGGCCTCGGAACAGCCACCGGCGTGCAAAATCGCGCCTCGTGATACTATTTAAAAAGTCCACGATGTTAGTTCTCTCCTCGGGATCACGCGATCCCTCCGATGTGTATTTTCTTTCCGATATTCCAGGTACACCGTGATAGACAGTTCGATTAAAAATCGGTGATTCACCGCCGTGGAGGAATGGTTCGGGAACCGTTGATTCGCCGGAAGTTTATTTTCGATTCTCCGCCTCTCTTTGCTTTTTTTTCTATTCGGAAACGCGGGTACCTTCGCTCGTACGGATGGGGAACATGGTAATTGATAAGTTGGAGGGATTGAATTGAAAAATGTGAACGGTATTTTATCGGGATATTGCTTTTGAAAATTTTGAAATATTAAAAATGCCATGTCTTTCGAGAATTTTAGTTGACTTTGAATAGGCGTCTGGTACTTTTTAGTCTTTTCTGTGAGAGTTAGGCGACGATCGTTTAATGAATTTGTTGGTAACAGTTATTTTCCCTAATTATGTCAACTCAGCGTTACATCACAAATTTAATCATCTCTTCTACAATGAATTGCCAAATTTAATCCATCAATAGTTTCACTATAGCAATTCAATTTAATTGTCGAGTTCATTTGAACCTCTCCGTAATATATATTTCAGCCGGATTAATTAATTATACTATTAACCCTTTGACATCGTACAACACTGTTAACTCTAAGCATTCGCTATTTACCCTTTTAATACCATGTCGAGTAAGAAAACCTAACGTGTCAGACTTGAAAGGGTTAAATTACAGAAATGAAAAAATAATTATATTTAGAATATCCTACATTCACCTCCGGTTATTCCAGTGTTAACTAAAGGGTTGACTCGTTAATTTCGTTAATTTCTAAAGGATACAAAAAAAAAAGAGACATTTCATATTGAAGAATGACAATTAAATCTCGTGTTCCAGTTAATCGGCAGAAGGCTCAGCCAATAGCCACGTCGAATCGCACAGAGAGCAAGGATGTTCGCGCTAGCACGTTACCACGAAGACGAGGGGACGTCAGTCCAGTGGTCTCGACGCCACAGAACAGCCCTAATCGTCAGAGTCCGAGAACGTCGACGCCAAGCGTCGACAGCGCCGTCGGCTCCGCGGAAGGCTTGGGTGTACCTCAAACCGGAAATGTCGAAGAGATTCGCCCGAGGAGCGACGGTTCCGACAGTCTGGCAACTTCCAGTGCCCTCACCAGCCCGGAACCACCGGTTCCGGAGATCAACGAGCCGAGAGTCGATCTGGTGCAAGCGGACGTGCCTCCTATCGAGGTCGTCACGTCCGAGCCCGTTTTTCCGCTCGTTGAAACCACACCGATCGAGGAAACCGTGCAGAAAGGTGAGCTATGGTCGAGTAATTACAGTTCATTGTGTTCTTGAAGAAAGAAACGTTCGTACTCGTCGTATTTCGCATCGGGAAGGAGGAAAGTCTCGTTTCAGAAAACTCACCTTCGCTGATATTGCTAAAATTGATCGAGAATTTTCATTCATAATTTCGACATGAAATTTTCAAGAATTTGTCACGTCGAAAATTAGAGTCACCTGAGAGTTAATTCTCTTTTATCGATGTCGTCACCTCAAGTATCCCGTGCCGAGTTAACTATATCCGCGTTTTCGCAAGTGACAGAGAAAATGGAAACAAACCTTGTCTCTAGAGTGGATGACGATAGTAAACGCGCGGGAAACAGCTGAATCCCGCGAACTCTTTCCGCATGTAGCAACAGTTTCTTATTTGGCTGATTCCGTCGGTTGGAAATTGGCAACATAATATTACTAAGTCTGACATCTTCGCAGCTTGTAATTTTAATTTAACGACTTTATCCGTGCCAGAATCGCACTTTCGCCTGTTCACCCTCTTTTTCGATACCGTTCAAGGTGTTCGTTTTTTCCCCCCCGTCGCTTATCAGATTCCGCCGCCGCTGCGATGTCTTAAACGCAGAGATCCGTGTTCTCCGCGGTACGAACACAGCCGAAAGATTCAACGACCCGGTTTCCCTCTTAATTATCCGATATTCGTTGACACGTTTATCGAAGCATCGAGTGGCAAGAATTAGGAATCGCTCGTTGAAAGTTCGCCTTGTGCCGTTGATGTATTAGAGCATCGGAATCGAACCGGATGAGCCGGCCAAATATTTTCGTGGCGAAGGGTAAGGAAAGAAGGACTATTTTTGGTGCATCGACAGGAGTACGGGTACAAAGGTGCACCCGAGTTTCCACTTTATTTCGCGTGGCTCTATTTTCGGAACGGTGGGTGCCAGGGTCGAAATAGAAATTTCAGCGTCATCCGAGTTCTACCCATCTTCATTGATGACTTCACGCTCGTTCACTCGTGCCTGGAGCAAAGCTAATCGCAATAAACGCCAGGGCACGTTGATCCGTTGACCTATCACGACAATGGATATAAAGTCGAGAGACTTGCTTTCGAACTCTTCGAAAGGATTGTAACATCGTCGGAGAAGTTAGGGGAAACGAGCGATACTCGTTTTTCTCGAATATGCAGGATTCGGTTAGTTGGTGAGTCATTAAAGCACCCAGTGCTGCTGGTTATTTTCTAACATCTACATAGCACTTGTTTCGCAACGGTGTTATTTGTCACCGGCTTTCTACATCGAAGCTGAAATTCCCGCGTAGTTCGGGTTCTTTATTTAATCGTAACAGCGAGTAGAAGTCATCTTTCGCGGAAGGTCTGCACAAGTCTCTAGAGACAAAGGGCTGAATCAAAGAAAGTGTGCAAAATAATCCCCTTTCTTCGCGATTCTTGGAAACATTGTTCGCAGTTTCGTCTTTCCACGTACGAAAGAATCTTTCGTTCATACGTATGGGAAGTAGTCTCTTTCGTGTATGACTCTGCAAGTCTCTAAAGACAAAGGCTTGAAACAGGGCAAATCCGAAATAATTCTTCCCCTTCGCGATTACTCACAAGCATTGCTTCCAGATTCCACTTTCCACACATGAAACAGTCACCTGAGTAATTTAACTTGCCAATATTTCCCCATGATCTGACAAAATACACTTTCAATCCTAACTTACAAATTCAACATTTCAATCTGTTTTCCATTGTTCCTCGTTTCTTCCTCTACCAACTTAAAAATTGATTCGAAGATGCTCGTTTCTCATAGAAAACAGGATGGAGCCCCACGAGGTGATAATAACACCTCCACCCGAGGAGCCACGGTTGAGCCAAACGAGCGAGGGTAGCGAGGCGGCGAGCGAAGCACCCTCCGAGGCTTCGTCGCCGTCAGGCAAAACGAGAAGGTACAGAGGGGACACTAGTAAAAGGAGAAAGGGCGTGTACATAACCCAATGGCCTGAGTCCTTGGACACCGACAGGAACAAGCTGTCAGCTCAGAGCAGCGAGGAAAGAGATGAGCCACCTGCGACGCCCAGCGACCTCTCCGACTGCGAGGGCCACACGCCTAGAAGGTAACACGAGAACGAACGCTGATATATCGGAATAGAATGCAAATAGACCTGGAACGTCTGCGTGCGAACACGATTTAACCCTTTGCTCGCGATTACGTGCACCTAACTGGGTCACTATTTCGATTTCTTCTTTAGCTAAATCGTATCGAAATTATATTTTTGTTGTTTTTAAATGTGTGTGCATTTTTGAGTCAATTGTCTTCAAAGGGTTAAGAGAAACGAGGTACCATATTTTTGTCTGACTTTTCTTTAAGTATTGCTTTTCATTAAGATTTTAAGAATAGGGGACAAATTTTTTTTAACCAAGATTTTATGGAAATAAATGCTGTTATCCTTAGACTGTTACTTTTCCCATCGAAATTGAAATTTACGCAAAACTTGGCCTTCTTTTTAATTGGTAATTAAAGGCTGGAATCGCCTTCGTCTCTTCCCTAGATCGTCTTCCGTATGCCTCTGTAATTTTTAGTGCAATCAGTTTGTCATCTAGAAAGAAGCGTCGCAGTAATATAAGTAGGTTCCAGCTTGCTCTTTCCAACAAGCTAGCAGAAAATTTATTTATACAGAAAAAATGACTCTTTGAAATACACCTAAAAATAGACTCTCCTTAACAGTATACACTACTGCGAGAAAATTTAATTACCAACTTAATTACGGACAAATTAAATATCTACAAGAGCGTCAACTATAAATTCCATTGTTCCTTCTCTGAAAGTAAAGGGGAATTAAATTACAGGAATATATAACATTATTCTAAGGTAGAAATTCAGTTGGAAACTCGGATGTTCGGAAATACCCAGAGAAAATTTCCTTTATTAAACTAGCATTGGCAAGAAATTCAGCTTTACCAAGATTGAAATATTAAACCGAGCACGCGATCGAATCCTGATTGTTCGTTCCTCATTTATTCAGGTACAGTAAGAGGCCTCTGCGTGGTCCTTACGGGCAAATGCTCGAGGCAGAAATGGCGAAGCCACGAACCGCCGATATCTCTCTCGAGGAAGGCCTTCGTCCGCGCAGAAAAGTTTCCGCGAATCTCTCGTACAACACAAGCTCGAATAACAGCGGTTCCGAGCCACCCACGCCATGCCATCATAGAACCACTTCCAGCCCGAGCAAACTCGAAGGTCTTCCGGGACCAAGTCCCGAACTCCTCGCGGAACTACTTCGAGGATCTTCGGAGAGGGTGGCTCGAGCGCCGGTGCATCGAAACGTGAGTACAACTCGATTCAATATGCATTTAGCTTGAGCGAGAGTGTATGAGAAATAGAGAGAGAATGGAGCGAACAAAGTTGAAGATAATTTAACGCAAGTCAAATTCTGAGCCATTAGTCGAATGAAGATAAATAAGCGTTTCACGCGATTCGAAGAACTGAGTTACACTAGAATCTTTATTATCCGAAGCTTCATTATTTGAACACCATCTGAGCGTGCTGTTTTCTGAACGTTCCACTGTTTCAACCATTTTACTCGTGTGAATTTCTGTTCCACACACGCTGCTGGTGTTCAACTGTGAACGATCGAAGATGGATCGCGTCGGTGAATAATTATAGACTATTTTATCATGTGGGATATGAAGTTCTGGAACTTCTAATTTTTAAACACTGTCTTTATATTTCAGTGTTAGGCGTTATTTATAAAGTTGGAAGAGGTATTCTTTAGTTATTCCTTATTTTTTAGAAGAAATAATTATTATTTTTGCTTCATTTCGGAGAAAAACATTATTGCACTTTCGCTTTTTCCACGTTCAAAAAGTTACCAGCCTCCTTTAAATTTATCACGAATTTATCGCTGTCCAATTCTTACTTTTTAGATGAAATTTCCTTTCTTTGGTATTGGGCAAAAGTTGTTTCGTATAGGTTCGGCGAAGTCGTTCCTCGAAATAATTTTTAATCCCGTCCGAAGATTAGAGCGTGAAAGTTTTGCTTCCCTTTGGAAATTACTTGCATGTCGGCTAAGCGAATGATAATCGGATTTCGCGTAAAACGTATTCACGAACAAGGCAGCGATGTAATGACGAGCTAATCTGCGGATCGATTAACGAGCGGACAGCAGTAAAAACAAAAAGGAGGAAGGCAATGCTCTCGAGCGAGTCAAGAGCACCGCGATTGATCTTATCGCGGCGTCGTATCTCTGGCGGCCTCTTCGCTGATCTTCCTCGTCGCTTGTAACATCTGGCGACGAATTTAAAGCGAGGGAACGGGATACGCGGCTCGTCCCACTCCGAATTGGTTCACGCGACGAATCGTGGAACAAAAATACCGATCGTTGGTCCGATTTAACTTTTCATCTTGGGGAAAACGTCGCGAGGTGACAGCTAATCGCGTTGAAGTGCGTTTAAACAGTGTTCGATGAGTTGCGTTAATCAAAATTAACGGGTGACTCGTGATTTTTCATTTTTGTCGAAGATTCATGCGATGACAAATCCTCGAAAAATGGGAAATTTTTTATCTACAACGACGAGAAAATTAAGTTAGAAGCACGCATTCATTACACTCCAATAGACTGCATCATATTTAAATCTACTTTAAAAACAATTTTCTCAAACTCTGAAATTCCTCAAATTCAAATATCTCTGTCAGAATCACCGTAATCAGAACCACTTAAAGGTGCAAATATCGCCAAAATCAGGAAGATAAAGTGTCTACAGAGCAATTCGAAACGCGCTTGAAACAAAATTAATCGATCAAATTTTCAAATCATCCCAGAATCACCCTAATCTAAACCACCCATAAACGCGCGTATCGACAAAAACAAGGAGGCAAAGTGTCCACCGAGTGATTCGAAACACACGACTCCAGAGCCAGCGGCTGAAACGTAATCTAATAATAATGTTCGGTCATATTTCTGGGATGAGTTGTTGGTGGTTTGGCCAGTGCACTCGAGGTTAGCATAGTGTCCCCTTGATTCTGGCACGGCGGGGGCGTGCACAAGAGGATATTCCTGGTCTTAGGTGTACCTGGGGACCGATTGGCCTCTAACCGGTGTAGTAGACGGAATCCACCGGCTAGCACGGGCATTTTTACGCAACCTGACCTTGCTCGATACACATCGACACGGCCACGTTTTAACGTGCAAGCGGCAAGTTCGTCCCTGCTTTTGTGAAACGTCGCTTTTAGGGTCTCACGAGGCAAGGGGATGTTTCGGTCGATGCTCTTTCGCTAATTAAAGTCCTCTTCGTGGCCGAGAGCGTTTCCCTTTGAACAGTTTTCCGGAGGCAATTTTCGTGGTGGATGTGCAGCGAGTGTCGTTAAGCGAGAGACATCATTTCGGGAGTGAATTATACGCGTGAGTTTGATGGTTAAGCGGTAGAAAGGAGTTCGTTGTGTAATTATTAAGCCTGCGGTTCTGTGACGTGTTTAGAATTAGAGTTTTGCATCGTGTTCGTCGTTTTCAGGGGGTAATTTAAATATGGCAGGTGATAAAGGGAAATAATCGACTGAGTGACAAGTTACTGTTTAATTAAGTAATTAATTTCGCAGGTAAATTGAGAGTTAATTTCGTTATAATTTCAGGGGAAAATAGCAAGAATTAATGAAATTTTTCAAAAATTATTTCACTGAGAAAAAGGGTCAAAGTTCATCTTCTTTCTTCTGAAAAATTTCAGTTTCGAATTTCTACTGGATCTTTCTCTACACCCTTCAATTCCTTTGTCACACTTGCTTCGGATTGAAATAATTCGATCCCATTCATCAGTCTTCAGACACTTGATAGGTTCGAACAATGCGGTTGTCACAGCAGATTTCTCGAAAGGTGTATCAATTAAGTCGTCGATCTTTTTCACCTTAAAGAGCATCCTTCACTAACGAGGAACACACGGTGATTTCCAACGTTATCTCTGTCGTAGTTGTTTCTTTTCTTAGCTCCTCGCAGGAACGATACAGTCGAAGTGTATCGTGTCTAGCGTCGAACGTACAGTTTGAAACGAATCCAATTGTATCTAACTTTGTATCAGACCGTGGCTATCTTTAGCTGAAACGTGTTTCGTTTTGAACCTTCGACGGGGAACACAGTGAAAGTCGGCCCACGGTGCTTTCTAAGGTTTCGTTATTTTCCCTCATAATCGGCTACGAACGCCGCGTTTAACGAGGGACGAGTTTCACAATCCTCGCGCGGATACAACGAGAGGGAAACGGATTAATTCGCGGCTCTCTGCTCCGGCTAATAGACGTTTAATCTCTCGCGAAACACTTATTTCCACGGACGATTCCCTAGATTCGCCTTGTTTTATCAGCGTCGTCCCTTCCTTTCCACCTTTCTCGAGGAAAATTACTCCAGCAACGTGGAGATTAGGGTACATCGACACGTGGTTGTGAAACAGGCAAAAATAGATTTCGCCGCATTTTTCGAAGAGGAGAGAGTATCACGCGTATTTATCGTGGCTAGCGATACACGTGAACGGAAATTAGTCATGTGAGAAGAAAGTGCGTATCGGTTGGTCTGAAAGAAAGCAGAATGGTTTTGTGACAGAGAACAGAGAACGTTTGTTAAGGTTTCCCCCGAGAAATCAATCGTACAAACGTGTCTTTTGGTGCAGCTTTTAATAAAGAGAAGTTTCACGCTGCTGTTTGAAAATCTTTACCAGGATAAAGTATTTTTCCTATAACACGTAAATCGACATTTTTTCGACGTCTCGTTACAAGAGAGAGAGAGAGAAAGGAACGAACAAGAGGTTTGATAGCCTGTGAAAATAACACTTGGTTCAGGTATATAAATGAAATACGGCGAGTGGCGTTATTACGTGCGAACGCATAGAATTTCTAGCGGAAAGATTGCTAAGGAAACATATAAACTAACTCGGATGAAAATAGCAGGTCTCCAGATAAACAGGGATATTTTCAGACACTGTTCATTATCTATCTTCTGATGTCATCGGGTTTAGGTCGGTATTGCGTAGATATCTAGGATTTCATGAATGAATCGCGAACTCACAATGCCAGGGCGTCGTGACGTCCACAACGAACGTGACGTCGGAGTCCACGTAGATTCCTGAATAATTTATAGCGAGCGTCTCTCTCTTTATCACTTCGTGTTCTCGTTCAAAGTCTATTATTCTTTTCTTTTTTACATCGTTCGACTTACTCGTTCTTTCAAATTAAAATCGAATCACCCTTTTCTTTTCGGATAAATTTAGAACATTTTTGAATAACACGACAAACTCTTCTGCGGCTTTACGTAACGTGAAACAATAGTCGTGCGAACGAGAGTGCACGCTAGCCAAGTGATTTCTTGGACTTGAGAATTTTTCATGAAAATTTCTAGTTTTTCGTGTTGTTCAAATTAATTGTTAAATTTGGTAAATTGGCAAGAGTGACGATTAAAATTCTGTAAAATTGTATGCAACGTAATGTTCAAACGCAAGTAGGAACGATGAATCGCGTTCGGTGTATAGAATTTAGAAGCGAGATAGACGTTTTAACGTTGAAAATGCTATTCAGCGGCGAATTGGCGTGGTTCACGTGAACGGATATACGAAAAGCAGACTGCATCGAAGGCGATCGACAAACGCGAATAAAATGCCCGAAAATTGCGAGGCTGAGACTCGGCCGCAACGGCGCAGACTAAACAAGCGTCCTCGAAATAAATATAGGGCACGGGACGTTAAAAAAATATAAAATAATTCACGGTTCTGCGCAACGTCCCGCGAGAAGAGGAACGTCCAATTTTTTTCCACATCTTTCATTCGTATCGACAAAACGAATTTCTCGTTTCCACGATACTCGCGAAAGATCGCTAATTTTCTCGAGTTATTTCTTTTTTTTTGCACGAGAAAATATCGAAAACAGATATTTCACAGTTCGCAGGAAAATATTTGGCATATTTATTTTCCACCAGTTGTTCGTTTGTTTTAGCAAATTCCTCTGTCGAGCGACATATTTTCTAAGGAAAATGTTATTTATCCCCTGTGAAGATTTATCGGTTCGATGTTAGATTCGCACGGCAAGTTTTACCTTGAATTTTTGATTAATTTCCGTGTAGCGAGATGGAGGATCTGGAATGTTTGGTGGGATCGAAGTAATTCTGACTCGAAACGTGCATACTAATTTCACAGGTTGCAAATCAAACGTTCGAACATTTTAATTTCCCCCTTTAAACGAGAAAACGATGTTGAGTTTCGCGTATAATGAATACAAATAGGATCACGAAGCACCAATTAGGACTCGTTTACCAACAAATAAATCTGAATTTACATCGTAAATCGTTGGTTGTATT